CTTTGTGTACATAAGTGACTGCATTTTCATTTTTGTTGGAGAAAATGTCAAAGAAACTTGTGGCCTGAAAAGTGGCATACAGTGGGGAAAATAAGTATTGAACGTGTCGAGTTTTTTTTTTTTTCCAGTAAATATATTTCCAATGAATCTATTCACATTAAATTTTCACGAGACTTTGGTATTAACTCCATACATCATCAAATCCGAACATTCAAGTCCATAAATGAAGTTGTGTGTAATAAAGTGAAATGACCCAGGAAAAAAGTATTGGACACGCTAACTGAAATTTATTTAATACTTAGTGGAGAAGCCTTTGTTTTTAATAACAGCTTCAAGATGCTTCCTGTATGAAGAAATTAATGGGCCGCAGTATCCAGGTGTGATTTTGACCGATTCTTCTAGACATATTGTCTTTAAATCTTGCTCAATTGGATTCAGGTCAGGTGATTGCCTGGGCCATTCTAACACATTGATTTTTTTTTCTCTGAAACCAATTGAGAGTTTGCTTTGCTGTATGCTTTCGATCGTTGTGCTGCTGGAAGGTCCACCCACGTCTCATCCTGGTGGATGGAAGCAGATTCTTCTCAAGAATCATAAAGGGCTCCATTCATCCGTCCTTCAATTAGTTGAAGTCTGCCAGTACCATGTGATGAAAATCAGCCCCACACCATGATGCTTCTACCTCCAAACTTCACTGTGGGTATAGTGTTTTTAGGGTGATGTGCAGTGCCATTTCTTCTCCAAACATGGTGTGTAGTATGACAAGCAGAAAGTTCAGTTTTGCTCTCGTCTGACCAGACTACACTCTCCCAGTATTTCATAGGCTTGTCCAAATGAGTTTTAGCAAACTTTAAACAAGTTTCGACATGCCTTTTCTTTATTAATGGAGTCTTGCTTGGTGAACATGAATGAAGTGCATTGCCTATTGTTTTCTCTATGACGATGGTACCTGCTGCCTCCAAGTGTTTCTGGAGCTCTTTCCGAGTGGTCCTTGTCTCTTAGGCTACTCTTCTGGCTATTCTTCTGACTCCCTGGTCAGAAATCTTGCGACGAGCTCCTGTGCGTGGCCGGTTGATGATGGAATTGCTTCCAATTGTGGACAATAGCCCCAATGGTGCTTACTGGAAGATTCTGACGTTTTGAAATACATCTGTACCCGATTCCTTCGATATGTTTCATAACATTAAAGTTGTGAAGGTCTTGGGAGAGCTCTTTGCTTTTACCCATCATGAGCTGTTTCTTGTGTGACACCTTGGTAACGAAAAGCCTTTTTCTAGACCATTAATTTACTAACCCAGCTGATATTAATTTGCACAGATAAGGGGTATAATTACTTTCTAACTACTTATGGATTTCAGCTGGTTCCTTGACTTACCTTGTCTTGGCGAACTGCTTTTTCTTAGTATGTTCAATATTTTTTTTTCCCCTGTCATTCCACTTTACTACACACAACTTTATTTATGTACTTTGATCTTGTGAATTATTTATCAATACCAAATTGTGGTGAAAATTTCATGTGAATAACGTCATTTGAAATATATTTACTGAAGTAAATATTGACTCGTTCAATACTTGTTTCCCCCACTGTATAATTGGATAAGCCAATCTGAGAGTTTTCAGCACATCAAAGTTTCTACAGGTAAAGCAGTTATAGAAGATGAATGAATGTAAGTATACTTGAATACATTTTATTTGCTTTCTTATTTTATATCTATCGTCTTACTTTTACTCTATTGGCATCTACCGACTTGCTCCAAATGATATCTCATTGTACTTGTGCAGTGAAACAAATATCTGACCTTATCTCATCTATTTCACTGCATCTCACTATTCGGTGTACTTGTTTTGAGGATCAGTTCTGGCCTTCGGTAAATAAATCATTTTCACAATTAAAACATAAATGGTGTTTTAAAACAATTTTAGTACAGTAGAACAAACCTGTGTTTTTTTTCCCTCTCCCTCTGGTGTAGCACAGTGTAGTACAGTCAACTCAAGAATTATTGGCACCCTCCCTGGAGGGAAAATTATTTTGAATAAAAGTTACAGGTAATATTTTTAATTTCTTATATCCTCATTTTAATATCCTTTACTTTAATATCTGATTATAATACTTGTATCTCATTTGTTTAATTTGGTTCTCTTTATCTTGTCTGAAAATTTCATCATGTTTTAGTGCAAATTTATGCAGATATATAGCTAATTCTAAAGGGTTCACAGGCTTTTAAGCACCACTGTATTTAAGTTGCTATAGACTTCCTGTCCGCTCGGACCAATCTGGCTGTTTTCATCCACAGAGCTGTCACTCACTCTACAGACTATTGTCACTCCCTCCTTGATCGACGAAACTAACGCAAATCAAGAAAACCGCTATAATCGGAGGAACTTGCAATTTGTTTAAATTACTGAAGATTTTCCACAGATTTGGGTCATGTGACGTTATCATAATTCCACATTCTGATGTTGGACGGGAACATTAAGCAGCAGAGTTTAGACATTTATACACCTGAACTTATACACCTAATAAATGGTATCCAGATTCTGTCCCTGCTTCCAGTGATACATGGTTTGCTACACTGTGTCGAATTTCAAGCTATAAATGAGAAAAGGTCGGGATTTGTGGTTGATTTTCAAACCACAGATGAGCACAGGGCAGCATGACTCAGAAGAGGTTGTTGTTGAAAGATGAAATGACTACTAGGCAGAAAAGCATCAAAGCATGAGACTAATTTAGGGTTGGGAGAATGGTTGTGCCCTCTTGTTGATTAAACTAGTGGTAGTGGTGTGAGTGTTTGTGCAGCAGTTTAGCTTCATAGGAGGAAATAGTACAATATATTACTTCTAAATGGATCTGATCTCAGTTTCATTACAGTTGTAGAGACAACGTAGTTTACCTCTAACATAAATCATTCTCATAAGAATTCTTCTTCTTTATGGTATTTCCCTAAAAAGGAATATTTCAAATTAATGCAAATAAATAATAATTTTTGGGGGGAATTTTTTTTTTTTTAATTCTCTCTGTGTCCAGAAAATCTGTTACTCATTTTCTGTCCCCATAATGAGTAAAGTCAGATGGTATTATTAATGCTAATAAATAATAATAGTAATTATAATAATAATCACTAGTAGTAGAAGTAGTAGTAGCAGTAATCGTATTAGTTGTAATATCATTGTTGTTTGTTTATTTATTTATTTATTCATTTATTTTTAATAATATTTTTTTTGTTAGAGGAAAATTAAATTTTTTTGTTTTGGGGTTTTTTTTTTCTTTATGGACATTTGAATAATTGGGTATAATTTCATCCATCCATCCATCCATCTTCTACTGCTTACTCCTGCAGGGATCACGGGGAACCTGGAGCGTATCCCAGGGAGCACCGGGCACAAGGCGGGGTTACACCCTGGACAGGGTTCCAGTGGGTATAATTTCATTTTTGTAAAAATTATTGTTGTTGTTGTTATTGTTAGTGTTATTATTATTATTATTATTATTATTATTATTATTATTATTATTAATTATTCATTGTTTTGCCTTTTTGTCAGTAATTCTGGACTTGACTAGGAACAGCGCAATATTCCTTATCACAGTATACTCTCACAGCAGTGCATCCTCATATGCCACATCATATCCTATAAGGATGAACACAAACAGTTGGCTCTAAAAATATAAACATTTCGCTTTTTTCACATTCCTTCTGATAATCAAATGATAAAATCATTTTTTACTATTTGTTTATGAAATTGTTTTTAATATTTTATAATCGTCAATATTATTGGAGATGCTATATGTGTATCATCCATCCATCCATCCACCCATCCATCCATCTATTTTCTCTACCGCTTATCCTACACAGGGTCACAGGGAGCCTGGAGCCTATCCCAGGAAACTCAGGGCACACGGCACGGGACACTCTGGATGGCGTGCCAACCCATCACAGGGCACAATCACACACTACGGACATTTTTGAAATGCCTCTCAGCCTACAACGCATGTCTTTGGACTGGAGGAGGAAACCGGAATTCACGGAGGAAACCCCCAATGCATGGGGAGAACATGCAAACCCCAGAGGTCGAGGCAAATGTGTTAACCACAAAGCCATCGTGACCCCCTGTAATGTATATAATGCAATGTGGAAAGGTTGACATACTTGTAAAGGCCTTTTTTTCCTCTGAATACAGAGGATGAGGAAAGGCAGTAGATCTGCACTCTCACTGACTGTCTCTCTTTCTTTTCTTTTTTTTTTTTAAACCACTTCCAAGCTTACACACCCTGCATAAACACACTGCATTACATTCAGGCCATGTTTAAAGGTTCTCATGAGTTTCATTTCTTTCCCGGGTCTAATAGATCTGCTATTGTTTCATTTAAGAATACAGTGCATGGATATTGTAAACCAAATAGCATGATGAGGTGTGCAGTGAAAGAATTCATTCAGGGTCTTGAAAGTAAATTTTAAGGGGTTTTATGAGTCTAATCTGCGGTGAGTGACGTAATGTATGCAAGTAGATCCTGTTTTTCAAAGGGTGCCTGTCCATGGACATGCAGGGAATGCACTTAGACCTTTTTTGCTTTTAACTTTAATGGAGGGTAAGATCTGGTGTCTGTCGTGCCATCGTGAAAGGGCCTCTGTCTTCTTCCTTGTGCTCATCACTGTTAGTATTGTCTCTCGTGATGGACAGGCCTGGGGCTGATAATCTGGCTGAGGATGACCCATAATGCACTGAGATGCTTTTAGCAGCCATATACATAGATGTAGACTTTATACCTGGACATTTACAACCACAAGGGATGGTGGGTTGTCGGACAGCAGTGGTTATGAAGCAGTATTATCCTTTATTGGATTCTACAGGATTTCATGTGTGAATTTGTGATCAGGTCACTGACTAAGCAGCAGTTGTACAGGTTTTCTGTATATAATATTTGTTACTTTGCTACTGATCAGCTACGCGATTATAAAACCCAACTTATGAAATTTATTTGCAGAAATATGGAAGAATAAGGGCGCACAGTGGATTAGTGGTTAGCACGTTCGTCTCACACCTCCAGTGTCGGGGGTTTGATTCCCACCTGTGTGTGCGGAGTTTGCATGTTCTCCCCGTGCTGCGGGGGTTTCCTCCGGGTACTCCGGTTTCCTCCAGCAATCTAAAGACATGCATGGTAAGCTGATTGGCGTGTCTATAGTGTCCGTAGTGTATGAATGGGTGTGTTAGTGTGTATGTGATCGTGCCCTGTGATGGATTGTCAACCTGTCCAGGGTGTACCCCGCCTTGTGCCCGATGCTCCCTGGGATACGCTCCAGGTTCCCCGTGACCCTGAAAAGGATGAAGCGGTATAAAGGATGGATGTATGGATGGAAGAATATTTTAGATCTCTGTTCAAGCCTGTGGTTCAGAGTCACTAAAAATAATTCACATTGTTAGTTTCTTGAAGTTTGACTTCAAACATTGTGGGGCATGCTGTTATAGGAACATAATCAATGATGCAGTGGTGGAATGCAGCCAAAACTGAAGTAGAGTTGTTATTTTCCTATAAGTTAGTTCTTGTTATTACTTTTATAAGTTATAAAAGCTATAAATATCCATTCCCTCACCAGCCCCTCTCGCTTTTTTTTTTTTTTTTTTTTTTTTTGTCTCTCTCACTTTTGAAATTAACCACACCGCTTGTTTCTGAGAAACTGCAAAAGCCTTCCTTCCTGAAGACTTTCCCATGCTGGATAATTTAGCTAAAGCTTTTTCTCAGACTCTGACAAAGCGCTGACACTGGAGACTCCTTCCAAACATGCACAGTGAATGCCATCTTGCAGAAAACATTATCATTTCAGCAGTTACACACGATGATTTTATTCATGTGGAGCGTCTGGCATACAAGTCACTGTGTAACACGTTTTGACCTATCAGATTAGAGAATTCAACAACTCTGTGATATAAAATATTTGCATTTTTATTACACAATATTTATTATATACCATCTGTGGGGCATCCTCAAACGGAAGGTGGAGGAGCAGAAGCTCTCCAACATCCACCAGCTCTGTGATGTCATCATGGAGGAGTGGAAGAGGACTCCAGTGGCGACCTGTGAAGCTCTGGTGAACTCCATGCCCAAGAGGGTTGAGGCAGTGCTGGAAAATAATGGTGTCCACACAAAATATTTACACTTTGGACCCAATTTGGACATTTTCACTTAGGGGTGTACTCATGTTTGTTGTCAGCGGTTTAGACATTAATGGCTGTGTGTTGAGTTATTTTGAGGGGACAGCAAATTTACACTGTTACACAAGCTGTACACTCACTACTTTACATTGTAGCAAAGTGTAGTTTCTTCAGTGTTGTCATGAAAAGATATCATCAAATATTTACAAGAATGTGAGGGGTGTACTCACTTTTGTGAGATACTGTATATTTGAACAAAACCACACGAAAAAATTAGCTTTTTCAATCATTTATTCAACAGAAATATCAATAGATGTGATTCTTCTGTGGAAAAAGTAAGTACACTCTTGGCCTCAGAAGCTAGTATTGCCTCCTTTGCCAGAAATAATTCTTGTAGCTGTTTCGCGTAATTGTCCACCAGTCTCTGATATCGACTTGCAGGAATTTTTGACCACTCTTTCGTGCAATATTCTTTCAGTTGCAAGATGTTTGAAGGTTTTCTTGCATGTACTGACTGCTTCAAATCCCCCCCCACCACATTTCAATTGGATTCAGATCCGGGTATTGACTAGACCATTCCATAACTCTCCATGTCTTCTCTTTAAGCCATTCCTTCGTGGATTTGCTGGTGTGTTCAGGATCATTATTCTGTTGAAACGTCCTCTTTTGGTTCCATTTTTGGACAGATGGTATCAGATTATCTTCAAGCACTTTTGATACAGAATTCATAGTTGTTTCAATGAATGTAAGCTGTCCAGTCCCTGAGGCAGTGAAGCAACCCCAAACCATAATATTTCCACCACCATGCTTCACAGTTGTTATGAGGAGCTTCTTCTGAAAAGCTGTCTTTGTTCTGCACCAAATATGTCTGCTGTTACTGTGGCCAAACAACTCTATCTTTGATTCATCTGTCCAGAGCACGTTATTCCAATAGGCATGCACTTTGACACCAACAGTTGCAAGACTTACTTTCAGATCCTGTGATGAAATTTTGGGATTTTTGGAGACTTCTTTTTGCATCAGACGGTCTGCTCTTGGGTTAAATTTGCTTGGAGCAGCTAGTCCTGGACAAATTGGTTGTGGTTTGATATCTGTGCCATTTGTAGATTATTATCCTTACAGTGCAGTGAAGTATTTCAAATAATCCGTTGCCTGACTCGCAGTCATCCACAACCTGTTTTCTGAAGGCCTTACAGAACTCTGTAACATTGTGGCATGATGACACCACACACCTCAATAGCAAAGGGAACAACAGACATTACATATACGATGTGTACACAACCCCAATTCCAAAAAAGTTGTGATGCTGAGTAAAATGTAAATTAAATCAGAATGCAATGATTTGAAAATCTCATAAACCCATACATTATTCACAATACAACATAGAAAACATATCAAATGTTTAAACTGAGTATGTGTAGCATTTTAAGAAAAAAAATAAGGGAATTTTGAATTCCCTGGCCGCAACACGTCTCAAAAAAGTTGGGACGGGGGCAACAAAAGGCTGGAAAAGTAAATTTTACTAAGAAGAAACAGCTGGAGGTTAATTGGCAACAAGTTAGTAACATGATTGGGTATAAAAAGAGTATCTTAGTGTGGAAGAGTCTTTATTATATAAAGATATATAATTATAGATGGGATGGAATCTGGATGGAAGAATATGTTCCTCTAAAACCGGTATATATCTTTCAGCATTGATGGTGCCTTTCCAGATGTGCAAGCTTCCCATTCCATAGGCACTAATGCCCCCCATACCATCAGGGATGCTGCTTTTTGAACCGAGCGCTTATAAAAAGCCGGATGGTCTCTCTCCTCTTTAGTCCTTTAGTGCCATAAATGTAGGGGTGTACTTGATTTTTTTTCCCATGTGACTGATCTGTTGTTGTTGTTTTTTTTGTTGTATTTTTTTGGTTAATTTAAATTGCGTGAATTGCTACAGAATGTCAATATTATGTCATTTGACAGAGTGTATCAACTTTATTAATAGGCACTGTTTCAAAGATTGAATTGAATGTATGCTTTTCCAAATGCGTCAAAAAAGCCAATGATTTCCATGGGGTATACTTATTTTTTCACATGACTATAGTTATATCCCAGATTTATGAATCTTTATAAATATTATAAGTATATTAAGGTTAAATTTTCAATTCTTAACACTGGAAATTGGAAAAGCCATTTTATTTAAGTTTAAGGCTCAGCGTACATGCAGGATTTGATCCGCTTACATGAGAATCTAGTTACGACTCGCATCATAGAATTACTCTCTGGTATATGATACAGTATTCAAGAAAATGAATCCCCAAGCAGTCGTGCTGATTAACTAATCTAAAAGATGTTTATCTATTACTGCTCTGAAAAAGTAAAGGTTACTTTCAAAGAATATGTCAAAGGAATGCATTCCTTTCCTTTCGCACTTTAGCTCAGTTAGTTGTTGATGGATACATATTTAACTGTATATATTTTTGTTAGTCAGTCAGTATCTCTCTCTCTCTCTCTCTCTATCTCTTTCTCTCTCCACTCAACAGTTCGATTCTGATCACTCTCTTTCTTCCTGCTCTGGTCAAATTATCCTTATCTCGTCCCTTCATTACGTGAAACTGGATCCTGTAGCAGGTTGTAATTGTGGAAAACGGGCCGAATTATAGATTTAAAACTTTTAAGCGGAATTCAGTGGTGCGTGAAACTTCTACATGGTCCTGATGGTGCGTTCACGCAGGACAGGAACTGTTAATCCAGATGTGCTTGTGGGTTGTTCTTTAAGTCCAATGAAACCTGTTTCGATTTGGTAAGCACATGGCAAAATTATTACGAAAGCTGTGTACTTTTTGATTTTTAGACCTCATCAATGTTTGTATTATGAAATCCAAGCATTTTGTTTGTACGTTATTTTTACTGTATATATTTTAGGCACACTTGTATATTATTGGGCATAATTTTGTACACCATATGAAAAATTATTATTTTTAAAAATAATAAATCTTACGTAGATGTGGGAAAAATGCTACACATTATTGTTGTTGTTCGGTAGTAGTAGTGGTAGTACCTCTGAATTATTAATAAAGAATATGTGGAAGAAACCCATTACATATGGAATAAAACACTTCAAGGTGGGCTGCTATAAGAAAATAATCAACAACTAGGAGGTACGATGCAGCTTGACGTAAACCGGTGTTACTGTTACCACCCCAACACGTCATACCTGTGGAACAGCACACCCAAAGTGTTTTATTCCTTTTAAACCACAACAATTTGACAACAAATGTTGTTGTTTTTTTTTAAAAATGAAAATATGACATCGTATTTTTCTGTCTATTGCTACCTTTAATTTTGTGGAATGTCTGCAAAACATCTACCAGCCAACAGACGTCCCTCATCAGCCTTTCTTTTCCTTTCAGTCTTAACGGGAATAATATAAAAAATCAAACTAAATCAGCTTGTCATGTTAGTAAGACGCCCGAAAGTGCAAAGATCAAATCTTAACACCAAAAAATAGTAATAAATATACCCAAACCAGGACTGAAGCATGTTAAAGGTATAAAAAGAACATTAAGGAAAGATATACAGGTTATACTGTAAGAAGACAATAGGGTTAGTACTATATTATTCTCTCTCTCACTCTCTGTCTCTCTCTCTCTCTCACTCTCCACAGTCCGATTCTGATCTCTTCCTCTCTCTTCCTGTCCTGGTCAAATTATCCTTATCTCGTCCCTTCATTATGTGAAACTGGATCCTCTAGCAGGTTGTAATTGTGGAAAACGGGCCAAATTATAGATAAAAAAATTTTTTAAGCGGTACTCAATGGTGCGTGAAACTTCTACATGATCCTGATGGTGCTTTCATGCAGGACTGTTAATCCAGATGTGCTTGTGGGTTGTCGCTTACTGTATATTTTAGGCACACTTCAATATTTGGATATATTATTGGGC